ACTCTACCCGGGCCTTGCGATGTCGCGTTCCCTTGGTGACTCTGTTGGAGCTAGTGCTGGAATTACATACGAACCCGAGATCAGAATCAGGTAGCGTCTGTTATCATCGTGTTTCCTTGACGGTTCATTAGGAAAATCGATCGAGCTCGAGATCGATTCGTGGTCCTGTGTAGCGATGGTGTGTGGGAATTCATCACCAGTCAAATGGCGGTAGAATTAATCAGTGAGTTGCTTCTAGCCTCTGTCGTGTGCATGCGTGCAGTGGTAGATCGTTACACCCCTGGAGAAGTTCAGACTGCGGCTGAGGCACTTGCCCAAGAGGCTTGGAAACGATGGATTCAAGAGGAAGGGAATGTCGTGGATGATATCACAGTCGTTGTCGCGTGGTTGGGTGATGACGATGAGAGTTTGCGAGGAAAGAAGAGCTCTCGGGAATCTTTATGGTGAGCATCCGTCTCTACTTGTAGTTTGTTATTGCCTGTCTCTTTTCAGATGAGGTCGTCGTTGAGATGTAAAGTAAATATTCGTGATCTATTATTTTCCCTACAGCAATGCTGCGTCGATTGAACTCGACTATTACTATTGAATGTGCCTGGCGTATTCGTTGGGTTACTATCATGTTTGAACGAAAACCAACCGCATGTGGTGATAAACGAAGCGTTGCTACTCGAAAGATGTTGTGTTCTATAGTAGGTCACGAAAAAGAGTAACGAATTCGCTATGAGGAATTAAAGCTCTACGTGCCAGCAGCATAGCCTGTATAACATTGGGTTAGAAGGAAAAAAGATGGTTTCTTTGAACAACGATAAGTAACCATCTGGGTCTGGCTTGCAGTATCATATGAGCCAACCGGGTGAACTCCCCATTCACATGAACAGCATAGTGTTCATAACTTGAGTTGATAGATAAGATACCCAGTTGAAGATATTCGTTTCGATCTTCTGCAGTCATGATCACCGCATCACACTGTGTTCGATTCCACTAGTAGAACTAGTAGGCCGTCAACTCAAATCGAGGAGTATGTAGGGAATACAACTACGTGCATATCAACGATCAAGGACATGTTTCATCTCTTCTGTCAGTCGGGTCAACCTCTCGAGATCAGTCAACTGTCGTATCGCCGCGCTTATTCTAGTGGGATCTAAAGGAGATTAAAATCAAACAGGGATGGGGGAATGACTACATTCACCCGTCGCTCTCTGATCATAACTCTCCTCGCCACACGGTACATCATCGAGGTCTATGTGGCCTTCGGCATGAGTAATTCCTGATAGTAGCGAATGAGCAGAGCTGGGTTGCACGGTATCGGACGAGGAAACTTGTTGTTGACTACTACATTTGAAAAGAGTATAAGCGCAGTTCGAAAATGCATAGAAGAGCACAGCTCACCATACCTCGGCGCAGTCGTATCGTCTCTAACAACACAGAAAGGCCTCGACCAGTGTCATGGGGAAGATGGCCTTTGTCGAGCTCTACAGTCTCCTCATCGAGCCACGACAAGTCTTCCAGATCGTGTACGGGCCATTCCTCGGTCATTCGCGGTGCCTCAGCGAGATCTGAAGGTTTGCTGGGGAGCTGACGACTCCTTCAGTCGCCCTCACCAGTTGCTTCCTCTCGCAGCTGCCGCATTCCAGCCAGCATCTCATCGGCCTCCCGCAAGACTGAGTTTGCTTGGCTGAGCATATCTTGATCCGAGTCTAGGGTGACGACGTCCTTCAGTTCATCCACAATACCTCAGAATAGTCAACAGAGACGACTTCTATCGCGTCAGCTCTATCTCACTTGGGCCGACTTCCTCCGTCGTTGCCGAGAGGTCCATGCCATCAGGTACCTCGGGAAGCGTCATTTCAAGTGTTGGAGTTTTATGTATTCAGTGGACGGAACGAATGTGAACTAGGTTATCCACTCTTGTCAGACTCTAGTTTACGATGAACTTAATATGCTATGGCTATTAGTAATGTCCGGCCCCCTCCTCGAGCCAACATATCTATCGATTAGATGGGACAGAGGAAAGTAATGTTACATTGCTAATGTGCCACTCGAAGATTGATACTTTGGGATGAATACGCTCTAGACCTGGTCTAGTGTGGGAAAATACGTGTGTTGAATCAACACTGTTGATGACAATATGATAATTCTGAGGAAATTTTGTGAATGTTTTATCGGTTTCTGTACACTTCTACCCGAATTCAAATGTAAACTTTGATGCGGTGAGGAAACTCCTGAGCTCAGCTGAAGGGAGCGAACATATATTCCAACACTGCTCTAGACAGCGAAGGAGGTACCTGTATCACGGTTCTCTGGATGAATACCCGGGTTCAAGTCCACGCCTGTCACTCCAACTCGAGTAATGAATACATCAGAGAGAATCAAAACACAGTGACAACTTGGTACTCCCTCGAAGTGGCGTTACATTCGACGACCGCGGGAGTTCGATCCCGATTTCGAGCTCGTACTTCATACTGTGATCGGGAAATGCGGTCGACGAGGATTGAACCTGGATTACTCAGACAACTAAGCTCGATACCTCTTCTAAGAAGCTGATAGGACTAGGAAGTGCTCGGGTAAATGAGCAAACACAAGGGATTCGGAAGATTTCTAGAGCGCTCGTGGAGTCAACGATTGTTGTATTCCACATGATGTGGACCACATCGCTTGTACTGGCAGCTACGCTGCGAGCGATTCTAGTTGTCTCCAGTAACTACAGCACTGATAGGCGTGGCCTTGCCCAACTTCTTCTTAGAAGGACACCACTGAACTCAATCTGGTCTTAGATTTATTGACGTTGTGTTTCATTCAACCTTCAACGT